TTAGCTTAATCGCCATCCCTGAAGGACTTTTTAGGACCATTGACTTACGGATAGGGGATGTGCTGGTTTAGCTTAATCGCCATCCCTGAAGAACTGAGAGACGGTTTTTTTTTGTTATTATTTTCGGACTCACACACCAACCAGGGACGAACCTTCGGGCCAAGGCAGCTATGACACTAGCAATGAACCCGGTTCTTTTCTTTTAGCGCCCCGCGATTTTAGAAGCGAAACGAAAAGGAAGTGAAAGTTCTAACTCCGCAAGTAAAAAGCAAAACGGTAATAGCGCGACAAGTCGGGTCACCTCGCTGGTTCCTTGCCATAGCCCAGGTCTACACAAATTGCTGTACTTCTGTCCAGTAAAGAGGAAACAATAAATCTAGGAAACTAAACACCATTCCCCCCGAAGGTCCTGATTATTTTTCTAAAATTTCTTGCAACGAATCCTGGATTGACTGAGTCATACCCCGCCAAAGGAAACTCGTTACAATTGCAAAAGTTAAATTAACAAAAGAACAACAAAATAAATAGAACAAAAACAATTTTGAACGAAAGTGCCAAGTGGAAATAAAAGGAATTTGCTTACATCAGTGCGGTTAAACGTGAATTAAAAAAAAAAAAGGAAAAAACCGAGAGAGACATTTCAAAAGTTCAAATTATTAATAAAAAAAAAAAACCTATTATTATTATTATTATTATTATTATTATAAATTTAGCCAGAGAATAAATTCTAAGACTAAAGTCTTAAAGCACTAGCAGCTATCGGCTTTTTATTAAAAACTCTACCGCACTTGAGGTTTGAACCCACGACTATTGAGTTGCTAGTTGAGACTCTTGCCTATTTGGCCACTCAGGCGGATAAAAAAAAAAAAAAAACCTACAAAACACAGCAGAAACTAAACAATCAGAAATATTTCTATCCACAGCTACAAAAAACAAAAAAAAGGGGAGAGAATCCAGACAATCACATTTGAACGACCTCTAAAGCAAGCAAAAGAAAAGAAAGCAACGAAAGAAAAAGGAAAACATGCAGAAACAAGGGACATATGAAGGTCAAAGCGGACTGCAAAACCACAAAAGGAATTCTCTTTTTTCTTCTCTAACCAAAGTCGCTGTGAGTAAGAAGAAGAATATTTCCTAAAAGTGGAAAATCAGAACGTAGATCAACAAATTAGCACCAAGATCAACACAAAAAAAATGTATAAATAAATGAGAGAATTGGTGAATTCGCATGTTGTGTGAAAACACAAAGGAAAATATATTAAAAAAAAAGAGAAAATTGGAACTATTTCAGTGATTTTATTAATGTGTGCCAAAAAAAAAAAAAAAAGATAAAAACGGCCGAAACAATTGAAAGTGCTTACAGCATCAAAAATGTTAAACTGAATCTCACAAAAAGTATGTTCAGATACTAAATGGTGCCTCTGAAAGAAAAATACTTAAACATTAAAGGCGAATGAAGTAAATGGAACTACAAAATTTTTTAATAAAAAAAAAAGTAAACGAAAGAAAGAAAAGCCAAGAAAACACAGCAGAAATTAAACAGCACCTATGGAAGTCAGAAATATTCCTACCAACAACTACTATAACAACAGCAAAGAATCCAGACCATTTCATTCGAATGACCTCTAAAGCAAACAAAGGAAAAAAAGCAACAATCAAACCCTTCAAAAACCCGAAGCAGATCTTGCGCTAGGAGAAAACCGAGCGAATGTAACAGAAATTCTTTTTTTTGAAACAATAAACAAAACAAACATTAATTTCCTTTTCTTCCAGGTGCCTAAACAGTTCATAAAAAAAAAGAAGGAAAGAAAAAGGAATACGCCAGACTTGACAGCAACAACAGCAGCAGTAACACCATCATCAGCTCCATCATCACTCAGCTCACCAACAACAGCAACAGCCAGCAACAACAAAAACATCACGAACTGCTACGAGCACAACCTAAGGAAGCATTTCAACAACAAGGAAACAGATACAAAAATATTGAACAGGCTTCAACGGTTCATTGCGGTAAGTGCATTTTTCCTTATTTGTTGATTTCTAATTATTCCAACACAATAAAAGGTAAAAAAATTAAATTTGGAACGTTGCACAAATGATGTCCATTTACATAAACAGACAGAAGCATTGAACTTTTTGTAAAAATTTCTAGACTAATTCCAATAGGCCCATTTATAAATAACCTTAGTAACGGCACGAATCAAAAATGGAAATATCGCACCCCTTAATAAAGCCAAACATGTTGGCTATATTTCACAAGGAACTAAATTATAAAAATAACACATTATTATTATGAGAACATTACAAACAAGCAAAATTTATATATAAAATCTATATTATTATAATTAACTTTACCTTACTGCGAAAACAACAAAAAATTTTCTAAAGGCCTTTCGAATAAAGTCAGAAAAAGTTGAAAGATAACAAAATTTTATTATCGAACAAGCGTAAATCGCTTCAGTATTTTAGAATATATATACTTAATATAGTATAAACACAGTGAGCTCTTTGAAAATTACATTCTCATGAAAATTGATTTTTTGTAAATGATCCTCCTCGTTTTCCGAATTTCGTTAATAGAGCCTCACATTTAAGTGATGAAGAATTTTTAAGTGTCGAATTTCATCCACGTTCCGATTGAGATAAATACGAAAACTGCGACATTGGAATGAATTGGTGAAAGCGAGAATGAGGAAAATCTACCGACGTGCAATGCCAGACATATCATACATGGCAACGTAGACGCATTGGACAAAGATGACGAATATAGTTGCAAACCATCTACCTCAACACGTTCCTTAATGGAACTGAGGCAACGGCAACTTTAGCAGCAATTTTCTGACAGCAAGAAGGCCACATAGCTTCCACTTGAAGGCCAACAAGCACTTTCTCCTCAACTTCCAACCACAATAGACATTTTTTTTTGCTCGCTGAATAAGCGAAAATTTTTTTATATTATCATTATTGTTTTTCTTAAAACTTCGGAACGTCTATAAACCATCAAATAATTAATTTAAAATTAAATTTCATATTATTTTACTAATTATTATAACTTCCCTATAAACTTGACCGTGTCAGAATAAGCAGTCTATTCTGGGAATAAAATATCAACAAACATAAAACATAAAGCAAACAAATGACAAAAATTGTATAGAATAGTATATGTATACAAACTCGAATCGTTTTGTATTTCCTTTATTCCCATAAATTCGCTCATGTATTGGGGCTGCAACTTCAATCTGTCATTCTCCAAGAAGATATAGTATGTATTCTTTTTTTATTTGGCCACGGCGTCGTAAGCGTTACGGCTTTACCAGTAGCTATTCATGAGGAAGAAGACATACTATATCGTATCACGATCGCATTACATGTTCTTAACAAGCTACCGTTCGTTCAATCCGTTTATCCTCGTTCAACAAAACCACCGCTGAACCACCGCTGTATACAATATAACCGAAAATTATATAGAAAAGAAGAAACCATTTACAAGTCCTTGTGTATTATAGTCTATGTAACATAAACTGTGGGCCTGGTTGTGTACCATGTAATTTTTCTAAAAAAGCGAAAAACAAGCTTCTCGAGTTCATGGCAAACAATAGTGAAAAAAGAGCTCCTTACCTGTTCTGACCGTCTTCTTAAGATTTTTCTCCACAACGAATAAAAGTCACGAGTGGCTTCTCCATTCTTATTCATTCCCTTTCGAAAAAGTAACAAGTAACAACTCTATTGTTATTCGTTCTCGCTCGGTAGTGGGACTGTTCATTCGTGCGCTGTTGCTGTTGAGATTCAAAATTAGGAGCAAGCCTAATGTGATTACTAATAGAAGGAGTGTTAGTCTGCGCTGAAATTGTCCAATATTGGTAGGAATACTGTGTAAATTCACAAAACTACTTCCTGCACTAGCAATGTTTTTTTGGGATTGTTAGTGGGGTTTTTTTTCTACTAAACCTTTAGAATCATGGAAAATATTTTCTAAAGTTTCTAAGCGATGTCCGCCAATTAAATTATAAGATGTACCTTGAATATTTACTTACGTAGCGGACCAACATTTCCTATATTAGCATTGCGCATAGTTTGCTAAATATGTTGTTGTTGGACGGCTGCAGCATTCAACAGCTTTTTCAGATCCAAATTATTCTGCTCTTCAATTCGTCGTTTCATTAAAGCATTTTGCATAATCATGTTAGCATGACTCTGCAGCTCTTCATGCGTCATAGGTTACATAGCAGGAAAGCGCTTAACACCAACTTATGTATGCTGTTGTTGCTGAGCAACTTTGCACGATAGCCAAATTTTAAAGATTTTGTAATTGATTTATTAATATATTATTTGAAATCATATCGATTTGCGTTTGGGAGGTTTGCTAAATTTGTTGCTGTTGCTGTTGACCAGACGTATACGTAAGTACCGCATAATGGCTTCACGATCGCGTTGGCTCAGATGGAGATTGGCTAGATGTACTAATAAGCCATGTTTAGAAATTTGACCTAAATGAAAAACGTTTATTTGCTTATCCAAGTTTAAATGAACGAATGTAATTTTACAATATAGGAAAATATAAGAAATTGTTTACCGAATTAGCTTTTTGAATGTGATTTTCTTTAAGCTTGTCGTTATCGATATCGACAATAAACTTTCTCGATCGTGGTCATCATCCGAAACCGCACAGATCGATTGTACCCAAACATGACGTTGGGCCACAGCTGAACCATTCGGGTTCTTCAACCTGATCCTTCGATTGTTGCTCATCTTTCAAGCTAGACACAACTAAAAATCCGGACATTGCTGGTTTCACATAGTTCTTTGTGACAATATGATATCTTTCTTTAAGAGACGATTTCTCTTCCCTCTCAGTTCCATCCGTTGATGCTGAAAAATATCGGTAAAGCATTACAAGTTTTAAATACACAACTGATTTTAAAGATCGATTAACACACACAATGCACCCAAACCGCTATTTCACGAAGGTATGTCATACGAGTAGGAGGTGGTAGAGGAATAGCTGCCGTCTTTTTCATCATCCGCTTTTCGATCAATTTTTATATCTTAAGTGCACGTACCGGCACTATGAAAATTTCCTCAAATTTCGATTTTTTCGGAAACTCCATTAATGCCATTTCGGTGTGAGGCTTATTATCTGCGACTTTAACCCAAAATATCAATTGATTTCACAATATATTTAAATATTATCATTTCCAATTTAGGGCCTCAAAGATTATATTGCAAAAATAGTTAATTTTCACAACATTTTCAATGTTTTACTAGTGGCAAATCTAGTAAACTCAAGATATTTGATATAAAGAAATCTTCAACATTATTTGAAAAAAAAGGATTCTCCTTCCCTTAACGATATATAAACAGGTAACAATTCTGCACTACAAAAAGAGTCGAATAATGAATTTGCAACAAATTTTAATGCTCACCCTTTCGATTCCTGAAGACGTAATTTGGAGTATCTTGTTTTTTTTGCATAGACAGCGAGATGTCAAAAAAGCAGTCTTCCAAAATCCATGGAGATTTAACACCAAAAGAGCGGAAAATTTTTAAGGGAATATTTAATTGCTTTGCGACGTACAAACAATGGTAAATTGCAGATGGTGACTTTGGAATTTTCTTCGCAAAAATAATCTTTCTCACGTCATCATCGAGAATAGATTTTTTTGAATTAAGAAGCTTGGGGACTATTTTAGCTTTTAACTCATACAGTCTATTTTCTAAAGTTGGAAGACCAGTTTCAATTATAATATTATTTATGAGCGTCGTCCGAAAAGTGTAACAACTTGGTCTGACGGGTTGGTGGTAGACCGGTTGAAGGATGTTGATATTAGATTTGCAGCTATTGCCATAAATTATCAAAGCATAGTCAATCTTGCTTAACACAAGCATTTTCGTAAGATAAGCAATAGTGTTAATATTGCCCTTATTAAAATAAAATTTTAAATTTGTTTATTACTGGTAAGCCATTAATATGCATAAGTAGATTTCCTGCATCGCAAATCTGTTTTCGACAAATGTGCATTTATTAGATTATTGTACGGAAATTTTAGCCCCTGAAGGCCAACCTTGCGGAGATCTCTCGTCCAATAGATTCGAGGATTTTGATTGCTTTCGTGTTGTCTTTTTCTTTTGTAAAAATGTATACATCGTCCGCGTAGAGACAATGTTCCACTCTTGGTACACGGCAAAGAATTTTGCTAATTTGATTCTAACTTTGAACCGCCGATGCGACATGAATGATTTGATGTAGTTGAAGAATTTGGGTCCAACATTCCATGATTTCAGGAGTCTTAAAATAACATGAAGACCAACTCTGTCAAATGCTTTTTCGAAATCATTTGAGAGAATTGTTACGTGATTTCGTTCGGAAATTGCTTTGCTTGTGAAATAATCAATATGTAACAGAGCGTCGATGCACCCTCTACCCCGCTTGAAAACAACTTGTTGCTTTGTTATCAGGTTCTTGGACTCAAGAAACTAAGACAATCTAGATGCCATAATCTTTTCCAATATCTTTGAGAGGTAAGATAAAAGAGAGATTGGGTGATAATCTGATGCGATGGAGACATTTTAGGACTTTGGAATTGGAACAACTGCTGCCAGTTTCCACATGTAGGGTATAAACCGTATGTATAGGTCCAGCAATTTCTTTTTACTTGAATTAGACACCGCAGTGATCATTTGATAAGAGATGCGGTCTAGACCAGGTGTCTTCCCCTTCGATTTGGAGAGACAACTTCCAAGTTCTAAGGTAGATATGCAATTTTCCAAGAAGGTGGCACATCTGCCAATACAATTTGAAAGAGTAAATGGAGTCCTTTTATTTTCGATGAAAGCACTGGAAAAGTTGCTGTCAGAGGAGTATTCGCACCACATTTGTCCAAAGTAATTAGAAATATCATGTGCGTCAGTTAAAGTTCCATTGGGAGTGCAGATGGCAGAAATTTCGTTCAGGTTTGAAGTTCCATTGAGTCTGTTGATTTTGTTCCAGACAACTTTCATTGATGTATTTCTGTGAGTTCCTCTCGAAAAAAGTTCGGAACTAAATGCCTTTGATTTTCGTAATTCCTTCCTGAATAGAGCATTGGCCGTTTTGTATAATAACAAATGACCATGATCAGGACATCTCCTAAAGCGGCGCCATAGATCCATTTTATTTTTCCTCAAAAACGAAAGCGTGTTGTTCCACCAAGGAACCATAGCTCGTTTAAAAAAGCTGTTGGATTGAGGAATAGAAAGATGAGCAGCCGTGCGAATCGCTTTAGTCATAATAGCAGCATCATGCTTGCAGTTCCCGTTAAATGGCTTTAAATTCAGAAATGACTCGGCCTGTTTGGAGCAATTGATCCAATCCGCTTTATATAGGAGGAATTTGGCCTGTTTTGCTGGGGTAGCAGAGGACATTGAAAGTTTAAGATCGATTATGATTGGAAAGTGATCACTATTATGTAGATCATCAGAAATAGACCAGGAAACCAAAGGAAGAAGTGAGGGAGAGCAACATGTTAAATCAATATGTGGAAAAGTGTGATGAGTTGAAAAGTGCGTTGGTTTTCCATCATTTAAAACGCAGAGATTGCTCTCAATGAAGACCTTTTCTAAAGAAGTACTACGATTGTTGTTCACTGTTGAGCTCTAGATGGTATTCCAGCTGTTGAAGTCGCCGCATATAATTAATGGGGCGGAAAGTACGGAGAATAAATTGTCGAGTTCTTGCTGAGAAAACGATTGCGAAGGTAGAATATAGAGTGAAAGCACTGTAAATTTTATGTTTAACATTATTTGTCGCTACGGCTTGTATATTAGAGCTTAAATTTTTGCGTTTGTGAGGTATACTTGATTTTATAAAAACACCAACTCCTTGTTTGGAATATAAATTTTGATCAGCATTGGTGAAACATCCAGTAAATGATTTGGGTGGAATAGAAGAAAAGAGGTTCTACAATGGGTCTCTTGAAGCGATATAAGGGTTGGACTAAAATCAATTACGAGTGTACGGAGTTCATCAAAATTATTAAGAAGTCCTTTAATGTTCCATTGTAGAATTTTAAAAACTTTATTTAATTGTAGTGACATGGAGTGGAAAGTAGGTTAAGTTAACGTCTCCGTCGAAAATGTCACTATAAGAATTTTGCGTGAATAATTTGCTCTTACCAGCAGAATAATCTGTACTTAGGTGTTTGCGTAAATTTGAAGTGCAACGAGTGGGCACATGTGAATGATTTGAAATTGAAGGTTGATTGAGGGATGGAAGATTGGATTTTTTACAGCGATTACAAGCAGGAGTTTATTTATTATTTTATACTTTATTAGTATCTTTACCTATATTAATTGGTATTTTTTATTTGTATATATTAACAGGTTCTTTAAATTTTTACTTATTATATAATTATATATTTGATTATGAAATGTTATATTTTTCTATGCTTTTAGCTTTTTTAGTAAAAATACCAATATTTTTAGTTCATTTATGATTACCAAAAGCTCATGTGGAAGCTCCTATTTCTGGGTCAATAATTGTAATTTGTTGAGTAGAGTTGAGAACTTGTGATTCTGGGGGATTTAGTTCATTAGATTTGGGCATATGTGTTGTTGTTTTAATTTTTTCAATATTTGCTGTTGTTTAGATTTTTTTAATATTATGTTTGGCGGGCAATGGAACTGATTTGGTAATATAATTTTTGGTTGATGGTAGAACAGGTTTTTCATTGGAAGGAGTTGGAATTAAAGGCTTATTAGGTACGTTTTGCGAGGCGACAACAGCGTAGGTATTGCTTTTGCTAATTCTTTGGCTTCCAGATGGATTAATTGCCCGGTATTCGCATCGCGCTTCACCCATGCTACAGTAATTTTCTGTTTTGATTTTTAGAATTTCACGCATTTGTATAAAACGTGGGCATTCTTTGTCTAACGCCGAGTGTTGATCGTTGCACTTTAAGCAGAAGCTACGGGTACAGTTTTCAGAATGTGGAGGAAGACCACAGTTAGCACAGGATGGAGCATCTTTTTGCCGTATGACCCGTTGGCGTTGGCAGTTTTTACATCTCATGGGATTTGGAATGTAGAATTTTACATTACATATGTACCAAGCTACATCAACCATTGCCGGTAGCCGATAGCGGTCAAAAGACAAAATAGTTCTTCCTGTAGGAGAGCGGGTTTTTCCATCGTCATTTAATTTGGTGAATTTGTAGACTTCGGTCACTCTTTCAATGCCCATTTCGCGAACAATTTCATCTTCCGGCACATGCATTAAGCATTGGGCATAAACTACGCCTTTAACCGAGTTCTGTTTGTCATGCATTTTAGCGGATATAGCATATAAATTAGCTAATAATTTCGACTTTATGAGCTTTCGGTTGCGCTTGGGTTCCCAGCGAGGACAAGTAAATTTCCATCGCGTTATATCGATATAGAGTCTATATACGTTGTAATGCTATCCAGTGCTTTTTTAATAGCGAAAGGGCTGATTTGCGAAATTGGTATGGAGGGATCAGTTGGAGAAATCACAACATAGTTTTTGTCGATAGGAACGATGCTACAGGTTGGCAATACCGGAAAGGCGAAATTTTTAATTTTTTTCTTTGGGGGGATACGTCTGCTAATAGATGAAATTTGTTTTAGTTTTTATCAGGCGGCCCCGGGGCCATTATGCCTTATGGTTGTCTATTATTTAATAAATTGGTAAATAACCATTCGCTTGAAAAGGTTTGGGAACTGCTGAGGATAATGACAATTGTTTTTAAAATTTTATTTTTCTTTTGTGTTTTTTGTTTTTTTGATTTTCTTATTATATTTGCAGAAAAAGAAAGCAAATATCTTATCAGCGACAATCAGTTTTAGCAAAAGCACAGAAAACACACGAATTAAACACAAAAAGACACCGAAAACACCGAAAACAATTTAAAAAAAACACAGACGAAAAACAAAACACGCACTACTCAGAACACAAGTCGGTGTTGAATGAGTTTAATATTTAAAATTGTATTCATCAATAAAAGAAAATCTTCATTACTCTGGAGACTTTACAGTATTATATTCGTCTTTGAAAGGTACTTCGATTCTAAAAGGAGTCGAATTTAGGCTTTCACATTTCATTATACTGATTACAAAGCTATTATTTGAAGGTAGGATTTCAAATATAAGCATGTCAAGGATTTTAAAATAAACTCGAATTTTATGAACAAAGAACAGCGTTAACTGAGCTTGCCGTAAAGCCGTAACTAGTGCTGTTAAATAGTAGTTAGGATAACGTTATGCTTGGATTAGGAAGTTTGCTACTCCGTCCAAATTAGGAGACGTAAGATAATTTTAGTCGACTTGGTAAAAATAATTTCGAAGGACAGAATTTGTTATACCCTACACCATTTGTGATACAGGGTATATTAAGGTAGTGCGCAGAAGGGCTTATGATGGATGCAACTTTTATTATACCGATTTGAATCTGAATTGATCTAAGCCTCTCAGTCCGTCTGATGTCTCTCCATGTAAATTTGTGTTCAAGCTATTGATTGCAATTTTTGAGATGTTTTGATGAAATTTGATACACTGATGTGTTTTGACCCCAAGAACGAACGCTGTTCAAAGTAAATCGAACCATGTCGGCTTCAGTCACTTCCTTTACAACGCCTTATGTCAATAAGCCGTTATATGAGTAACTTTTGAGCAATATAAGGTACTTAATAGTGGTTCTTGGCTTAAAATATTTCGTGGCTGCCAAATATACGCCCTAAATCTTTAAGAAAGCTGACTTAATAGCTTAAACTAATAAAGTGAAGAAGGGGAACTTCGGTCTACTTTGTAAAAAAAACTTTAAAGTCGTAATCGGGACTTCCAGACACAGAACTACAAATAGTGATCATTGTAACTATTCACGTCCATCAACAATGTATCTGCTATGCACTAAATGTATTCGAAACGCCATGCTGATCAGACAGATGTTTTTAAAAACAATTATTCTTCTTCCCAGGAATTAGAGAAAATAAGCGTACGTAGAATATCAAAATAATTTGGATAACAGGTAATTTAAATCTTCTGTTTAAATCAGTGCTCATACAGTGATGATGGTGACGATGAATAGACACTTACTCTCGTATAAAAAGCTGTTCAATGATAATGATCCTGTAGCTCTCAGCAATATTGTTGTTTTTGGTAATAAAAGTAATAACGATTTCAATGTTTATTTGAAAAATTTTTCTGGTTTGTCTTGATAAATTGTCGTAGCGGAATTGTTGTTTGTTTCATAGTTCTGCTTTTACAGGCAATGTTTTTGTTGTTCTTATTGTGGTTTCTATGTCAGTAAATGACCACAATTGTTATGGGGCGTTAGTTATTTTGCGTGCCTCTTCGGTTTGTGGTTGAGGGCATGCGTGATAGCAGTCTACAATTTCTCTTGAAGGGAAGGTGAAGCAATTAAACGAGAGTAAAAATAAAAAATTCTCTAGTAGAAATGGGTCTAAAAAATTGGAAAATACACTAATGATAGAAAATCTACGTCATTTGAAATGAATTTCTTCATACACCAAGGTGGAGTTATTGTCTTTTTCCGACAAAAAGTTTCAAATTCACGTTTACTTGCGTATACTTGTGTAATGTATATATATTAACTATTTGTCGAGTACACTGATGAATATCATTGCTAGCTGTTCTTTTCATCCCCATCATGCTTAACTGCTATGCGCATTTGTTTGATCAATGTCCTAGGGATACCAGATACGAATATACTTTACTCAAAAGCTCCTTCCAGAGACTCGCATAATAGCTGCTAAATTAAAATCTGGCGTTGGTGCTGAAATGTAGATAGAAGTATGCATACCCAATGTACGACGATATAGGCTGAAAGGTAAGAGGACCTCCTACATCATCACTCCTTTGTCGACAGTCTTTTTTTAGACATGTACGATTCATAGGTAGAGTACCTTAAATGCGTTTCGTTCTTAAGACACCTTACCTTCATTTTGAATGCTGTGCGAAAGCTGTCGTTAAAGTTTTGCTTGAATCGTCCTTTAAGCTCGACTTCACGGCTTTGTGCAGCTTACCATATAAAACGGACAGAGTGTGATTTTCGACGAGGACATGTTAAGTTTCGACGGCACTGACATACTGGACGTACATTTTGCGCCAGGTTTAGATGAATTCAAAGCAGTATGGGCCTAAGCGAAGAGAGAACGAGACATAGACGAATAATTTTTTTGACTGACTGGGCGCTATTTTTTCTCTCATCATTCATATCTTGCTCTCGCCGTTAGAAATTCTACTAATAAGAGAATTTCGTCATTTTGAGAGAGCAGAGAATTTTAAATATTTGCTAACAATATGTGCAATATATATACAATCTCTCTCATAAGTTGCCAAATTTAATTACTCTCTTAAATCGCCACATTTAACTGCTCTTCTTCTTATGCCTGCTATAGCAGATTTAAGCGAACGTCTCTCGCACCTTTGATGCGTACATATAGCGAAATAAGTCGAAACCCTAACAATGAAACCTCGTTAACGCTATACGAAATCAGTGCTCTGGCCTCTTTATTTTAAGGTGTCATGCTCTAATTTAATGTTTATTGTTGTGGAGACTAGTGAATAAAATTGTTGGTTTGTTATGTCCATTAATCGGAAATGAACAGTTGTGTTTTCTGCAATTTAGGATGTTTCCTTTGTATAAGGTGATGTCTGCATGCGTCAACCAGGGATGTGAATGGTTTTTGGAAAGAGAATTATTGTGAACTCATCATTTCATAGTTCCGCTGATAATCTACGTGTATTAGCGAGTGGTTTCCGAAGAGCGTTGGAGGTCGACCACCTCCGGATATAAACAACTTCCATGGCTTGGTACCGTGTAAGTGTCATTATTATTGTTATTCTTGTAGTTATTATTTCTATGGGGATAAGGGGAATTGTGATGGGTTGAATATATTGATAAGGTTGAAGAATTGACCTTCTTTTTGGAGAGTATACTCGGAGTTTTTTTTTGGGCCTGTTTTTGTATCAAATTTGTCACTTTATTCTTGGTCTTCTTAAACGATAATTAACAAAGGCAAAAGGAATGAAACATCGACATTGTGTGTAGATACCAGGCAAAGTTTGTGCGTACGCGAAAAAAAAATTTTTTTGACAATTCGGAACAAAATTTCTCATGACTAAAAGAAAAGGATCTCGATGTGAAATGGGCTGCGATCATTCCAATCATACCAATATCGAAAAAAGTTCTTGCACTTGTGAAAAATTTTTTCGAATAGAATTTCCTTAAAAAAAGAAATGAAATTTACAAGTGTCTATTAGTTGTAGTACTAACATTGTTAAAATTCCGCGCTCAAGAATTGTTCAGGATGTCCCACATTGTCTCTCGGTCCAATCAGACGTCTACCTAGTAGTATGAAGAAGTTAAAAATATGCAAGATATAAGATAGTGAAATCGCCATGTTGTAAATATGCAAGGATCGCCATGGTAGGGTCATATAAACGAAAGAACTTACCAGAATTAGTATTGTCCTTTAAATTAAACTTGTCAACATATATGAAGCAGAAACTTTTTGAAGTCCCGTTCACGGGAATCGTACCCAAAAAACCATTACTAGGTTCCGTAAAATTGTGGTACCTGAAGGGAAATCTAAGCAGTGAAATAGAAAGGTTTATTCGCCTCTTGGTAATTACGAAAGAAAATTATTTTCTCGCATGAGCGATGCTTTAGGGATGTTACTATGATCAGTGACCATTGGTAAATACCATCAATAGGCTGGTCGCACAGCAAAAGAGCCAGGTTGAATAATCTTTGAGACCGCTTGCAAAAGGTTAAACAATCGAAGAAGAACGTCGCATCAATCGTTACTGAAAATAAATTAAAAAATCTAGTGAATCGTCTAAGATAACAAAGAGATCCATTTTTTCAATGTGGCTCACATATTTAATCCTTTAAGTTTGTTGGGACTTGTTGTCCTTGCCGCCAAAATTATAGTTCAGAAAACATGGCAATTACAATTGTCGTGGCTTGAAGAAGTAAAAAAAATCTGCAGCAAAGCTTTTGAAGAGAGCTGCGTTTACGATGTAACAAACCAATACCCCGACATAGACAAGAAATAAAAACAAAAAAAAAAAAACTCAAATTAAACGGGAAAGAAAATATATAAACTTGAATTCAGTGCGCTGAAAAAAAAAGGAAAAGGTAAATCACCTACAAAATACCTTCAATAAGTTGAACATAATAGTGCGAAAACAGCACAAAAAATAAAAAAACATAAACTTAAACAGCCAATATTTGGCAAATAACGCTTACAAAAAATTGAAAAGAACTGGAAGGGATTAAAGTGGAAAATCGATGTGTTTGCAAAGGCATTGAAAGATAAGCACGGACAACAGTGCAACGTAAGCATCAAATGACCATTAGCAATTGCGTATGCTCGTGTGTGCGTGCAAACAAATTGCGAGTTTGCACATATAATCAAAGCATTTGGATACAACCTAACAAAAAAGAGGGGCAAGAAAATTTATAGACGAAAAAGAATAATACCCTAAATAAATTATACAATATTACAAAACCCGTAGGAAAAAGGAGAATATAAACTTAAACAACCATAATACTTGGCAAATAACGCTGACATAAAAATTAAACAGAACTGGAATTGAGTGAAGTGGAAAATTGATGTGTTTGCAAATGCATTTACAGAGCAGTACGAACGAAAAGTGTGACGTAAGAATTAAATGATCATTAGCAATTGCGTGTGTGTGCTTGTGTGAGCGCGCAAACGATTTGCGAATTGGCATATGTAATAAAAGCATTTGTGTAAAATTTAATAAAAAAAAAAATATTAAAAGGTGCAGGACAAAATTAAATTGCTAACAAAATTGCACTCAGGAACAAGAAAAAAAAGTCCATTTGCAACAGAGCTAAGAGAAAGACAGTCAAGGTTCGAGCAAAAGAGTAATTCGTGAGCACAACAGACGAAAGATCGATCTAAAAGGAAAAGGGAAAGACAAAACTACAAATACATCATTTTGAGAGATCACATCAAACTGTGTTAAATTTAACAAACTAATCCATGTGCGCGCCCTACGTCATAATCAACCACCACCAGCTAAACAATTTTGCGACAATATAGAAAGGAACCACGCATTCAAGAACGCTGTTTAAGCATAGCGCTCAGTAGCTCTCTTACGTGGCAATAAATTGGCGAATTGTTCAGCTAAATATCATAAGAAGCAAAGATCGATTCTGCGAAGTGGTGCGGGCGAGAATGATTGCGAAAGGAAAAGGAAAGAAAGTGACACCTACCCCACAGCAACAGCTATACAAGGAGTGGGCCAAAAAAACCGAGCGGGGATAAAAAAAACAAACTTTAATTTATAACAATAACAGAAACAAATATTAACGTTTTATTTATTTCAGGTGCCTAAGTCAACAGCAGTAACATCCTCATCAGCTCCATCATCATTCTGTTCACCAACAACAGCCGCAACAGCAACGGCAAGTACAATTGCAGGCAGATTCGGTGCGCTTAAGCCACCCGACAACTGTCAACCAACCTTCAACGCAGCCCCACTCCACCCACAACAACAACTCCAAGAACCTCATCAAGCAGCAGAACACCAACAAACAACCACAACAATAATAATTTCACCAAACATCAGGATAGCAACCAGGGCAACTACAACGGCAATAACGACAACAACTTCACCAACAGCAAAGACAACCACAACGGCAGGTAACCCCACCACTTCAACAGGCTGAGAGTTCAGGTTAGTAAGCAACATATAGAAAAAAAAAGCCTGAAATATGTATTGAGAGTTTACCCGACCAACAGCAACAAGCACATCACCTAGGGGTGAAGCTGGGGGTGACAAAAAAAGGGGTAAAGGAAAACCTAAAAAAAATTTTAACAAGCGATAGCCAAGTACTTTTCCTCCTCTTACTATAAATGAAATTACATCCAACCCGAAACCACAAATACTACCGCGATCCACGCGAAATAATACCATCGTAAAAGGGGAGATGCAATAATCCGAAAAAGCTAGTAGGATAGGAATGCTCGAGAGTTACGGGAAATTATTAATAAAACTAAGAAAAGAAAATATTTTAGTTGGGAAATTTGGGATATAGAAAGTAACTAATTATTGCATAAAGTGAAATTCCTTACGAGAATTTGAAGTGTCCTTATTTTGTTACTCTTATTTTCGTACGTTATTTTTAAGACTGTTCACGGGCACAAGATTTAGGATTTTGCCATCGCAACCAAACTTCCAAACGATCGATTTGGTTGCAGAAAAGGTGATAGCAAACTTCAAGGAAAAAGAAAACAAAATTTCCCAAATCTAAGCGCAGCAGCGAAACATAATTACCTTCTGCACAGCGCAAACCAGCTAAATCCGTCGCAATAGTTTTCGTTTCGGAACGTAAATCCTGTGGTCAACGACACTGGCATTTGTCTAAGGAAATAAGGAGGGCGAAGTTTTCATAATATTTCGTATTGAAAGTTTTGCATGATTCTCGAAATACACAGTAGCGTTGCTTGGGTTCTGAGACAAGTCACCGACAAACATCGACATTGAACATTTCGGCTCTGTGGGTGCCACTATTTCGAAAAAACTGAGAGAAAGACTTGTAAAATGCATGGGTAAAGTCAATAAGGAGACAGGAGATCAAAATCAAATATAAAAAAAAGGGAAAATCCCAAATTGATGAATTTGAAAACCACACAACTGCATTATACAAGATCCTATTACATCCTCGTCACTCTTCTATAACGCCTATCAATACTTTTTTATAATTTCCCCCGATTATCAGATTAAGTTTGTCATAGCAATTAGGAAGGGGAAAACCAAAAATTTACCAGCGATAACGAAGCACTTTTCCGTTCAATACAAATGAAATCATATCTGCCCAACAATCTAATTTTGGAAAATAACATCGCATAATTTCCCCGTGAAATAATCTTCGGTTATAAATTCTAAGAAGTTTAATGGGTGAATGGCCCACATCTCGATTTTAGAAGGTTTCTTATAGACCAAAAGCTTCACGTAATCTTTAAAGTCGAAATACGAGTGAGGAAGCGATAACCATCTAGTAGGACTGTATACCACTGTTCAAAATTTGATGGAAACTCCTCGGTAACAGCGTGAAGATCTTGGGAAATATCCCGAAATAGAAATATAAAGTTGCGTATATGGTTGATCAATATATTGACCGAAAATTACCAAAATTTGGAAAATAGATTTAAATTTCAGAATAGTAAGGCAGAGTCGTACTCATGATTTAAATTATACATAAAATTGAAATTGTAATAAGAAATTTATGGTAGAGGCGTAATTTGTCACTAAAGCAAACTATTTTCGACAAAGGCAAAACGATAAATAAACAAACCGTAAGCGAAGTTTCAAAAACAATTCGAAAAATTAAATATTTTGATAAATAAACTTTCGCATGCGAAATACTTGTACCAATAACTTGTAATCTGTACACAATATGCTATCTATCATTCTAAAACTTTGAAATTTGTTACCAATAACAATTACACAAATACTTCAGCCACTAACCTTTAGAAAATTGTACCGGTCAAACAAAAAAAAACCAAAAAAATCACGAACAACACAAGACAATAGCAAATAAAATTCAAGATGGAAAAGTAAAATAAATTAAGAGAAAAGGAAAAAATCAACAAAAATAACAGAGAAAAAAAACCAAGAAAACATTTACACAAGATAAAAAAAAAAAAAAATCAGAGCGCCCAGGGCAGTCCCATTCTCCTTTAATTATTTGTATTACTAACTTTAGTTAAGCTCGCGTTTTAATAAATTACACCCGGCAGCTGCCATCATGAATTCCAGATTCCGACTACCGCGATCGCCCTTTCCAGCATCTCACCGATTAGCAAAATGGCATCGGGATTCTACCACAATATCTCGGCACCAGCCAACAACACCAACGAGATCATCCAGGTCGCCACCCCGATTGACGGAGCACACCGAGTTTTTCCAGCAGCGGTCGACACGAAACCCATCATCGAAGTAGTTAGCAGATGGGGGCTCAAATTTATCGGTCACAGAGAGCCGCTGGCCTTCATCGAGCGGGTCGAGGAGCTTGCAGAAGCATACAGTGTCGATAAAGACCGTTTGCCAGCCGCCTTGGTGGTGATGATATCTGACCGAGCCTTGACGTGGTATCGCAGCAACATCCAACACTGCACATCCTGGGAGAAGTTCCGAGCCGACTTTATGAGGTTCTTCCTACCACCACGACACCTCGACAAACTCGAAGATGACATTCATCGACGTACCCAACGACCGCGGGAGAAGTTCCAAGACTACGTAATGGCCCTACAAGACATGCTGCGCCATACTTTGATGACGAAGGACCAACAACTAGAGCGCCTTTATAGGAATGCTCAACCCCAATACCTGTGGTATATACGGCGCCGTGACTTCAATCACATAGCAGGGCTGATGGAGCTCGCCAGCGACTTAGAGGCGATTCCGGCAGGTGGCACCTTACGCGAAGCTCGCCGGGACGCTAATAGAGAACTCCAGACCGGCGCTCGACGGCGTGAACCAACAAACTACGGGGCACGGGCACCGAACCCAATGCCACACGAGAGGTGCTGGAATATGCCCCGAACTGCGATCCACATCTGACGAGTGTGGAGCCCATAGCAAGTCATGCGATCAGTCACGCACATCCAGCCACAGCCCGCACTCCCAGCTAGGGCCAGGCCAACGAGAGATATATATTACTTCCGATGGCACGGACCTGCGCTTCGAAGAGGGCCAGATCAGCGCGACCGTCATCGTCGCCGGCCGACGAGTCACCGCCACGGTGGACACCGG